ATACCTTCATCCTAAAAAATAATCCCTTTAATTCAGCACAAAGACAAAGTGGGCCTGTAATCCTCCCACGATCTGTTAAACGATACATCTCCGTGCGGCAGGATTAGGGATGCGGATCGTTAATATTTATTGATATTGATACCTTTATCGATACTCCTTATCGATCCGAGTCTTTATCGATACCACTATCGATACTTTTCTGTTATTTGGTGGAAAGACGATGCGACAATATTTAACAAATAAATAGTTGTATTTTAAATTAAATGTAATTTTTAATAAATGTTGCCATCAGTAGTTTAATTATATATTCTAAAAATAATTAGAGCTATATTCAACTGTATTACTCATGTTTCTCGCCAAAAATTAAATTTCCCTTTTCTTTACGTTACACTTGAACGCATCATGATAACCTAATTGACGTTTTACTGAGCCAATCTGAACACATCATCACGTAGTACGTCTGAAACTTTATTTACTTTTCAAGCTAACTAGCGTGTATGCTGCCGATTACAACACGGATTTCACAATTACTATTGTAATAATAAAAAAAACGACCAGACTAGATAGTGGTATCGATAAGCCCAAACGGTATTGATTCTCGGGTTTTGAAAAAAGTGGAACCGGGTCCTTGATAGAGCCGGGTTTCGATCCCCATCCCTAGGTCTGACCGGGGGCTTGTTTCTTCTCAGGTGCTGCTGAGGTCATTTGTTGCCAACCTGAAGTCCAGCTCTCCGACCATCAGACGCACGGCCGCCAGCTCCGCCGTCAGCGTGTGCCAGCACTCCAGACGCACCAGCTTCTTCTACACATGGCTCCTCAACGTGCTGCTGGGTAGGTCGTTTGGCCTCTGAAGGCCTCGGATGCTGGGCAAATTGGTATCATACAGTGGGGGAAATAAGTATTTGACCCCTTGCTGATTTTGCAGGTTTGCCCACTTACAAAGAATGCTTATTTTTCCTCATCAGATAGTTATCAATTTTTATAAATTCATATGATGTGATTTTCTGGAATTTTCTTTGGGATTCTGGCTTTCACTGTTAGAATGTACATATGATTAAAGTTATAGATCGTTGCATTCTTTGTAAGTGGGCAAACCTGCAAAATCAGCAAGGGGTCAAATACTTATTTCCCCCACTGTACATACTTTAATAATCCCAGAGGATTATTAAATAGAGGGAACCCCACCTAGGGATGTCCCCATCCAGCATACTTCGTTCCACTTCCCAAAAACTTACGATAACTCCTTAATAAATACTTCGTTCCACAGCCCAAAAACTTACGATAACTCCTTAATAAATACTGCAGATAGTTACACATAGCAATAAAAAAAAAGCATTTTATAAGAGAGATGTAAAAATAAATAAATATAAAGAGATAATCAATAAAATGGCTCTTTACCTCAGAGACTGGAGAACGGAAGAAGAGATGAAGACTGAGATACAGGACATTCCGTAACTTACTCTAACTTTCACTACGTTGACTTTAAACTAACTTATCTTATTTATTTTTATATTTTATATATATATTTTCTATGACCTCTATATTGGAAATTTACTTTGGGCGTCCAGTCGAATATTTGATCGAATTTAACTTTGAATGTTGGAAAATTCGAATGGAGAGGTTCAGCTTTATTTAAAATGAGTTTACAGGGACCTTCCCTTTCTCAATAGCTTCTGGAGCCAGGAATCAGACCGCCAAGGTCCCCGTCCATTAGGGATATCCATATCCAGCTTTTTTCACTTCTGATCTGATACCGACCTGTCAGAGCTTTTTTATTTTTATTTTTTCAAATATCTGGATCCAGCCTAACCCCACCGTCTGCCTCCCGCTCTGCTGTAGGCCTGCTGGTGCCGGTGGACGAGGAGCACCCCAGCCACCTGATTCTGGGGGTGCTGCTGACGCTGCGGTACCTGATGCCTCTCCTGCAGCAGCACGTGAGCAGCAGCAGCCTCAAGGGCAGCTTCGGCCTCATGAGGAAGGAGGCCGACGTGCAGCCGACCCCCGAGCAGCTGCTGCAGGTGGGAAAGAATCCCCAATGTCCATTTGTCAAAGATCCCGCGTCTGTTTTTCCCAAAATATATTTATTGAATTCTTAACTGCTTATAACCCTATAATGCCAAATGTATCATATTTGATACATACGGTTCGTGAAATGTTTTGCGTCTGACACCTTTTGCTTAATTTAATGGTAAAAACTTTGCTCAAAATCCTATTGAACACGATCAGATACACCTGATAACAGGGGGCAGAAGACCACACAAAAAAATTATCTTGACTTATCGCATAGTAATAATTTATTAATTTTAAAAATGTATTTCTGTTTTTTTTTTTTTTTACATATTTTGTTAAAAGGCCAAACAAAGACTTCAAACCAAAAAAAAGTAATTTTCTATTTTGTTTTATTCTTGGATCGGGCGTTAAAGGGTTAAACGAACATCTTGAAAAATAAACAAAATAACACAACAGCAGTAGAAGTGTTACTTGTTCAAGTAACAAAACGAAAAAACAAATATCTTCTCACAGTATTAATTCCAGTGCAACTGGTCATATTTCGTACTTAACCTCTTTATATTGAAAATTAAGTTTTACAGTATATGTCCTTAAGTAAATTGTCTTTGGGAACTACAGTTCACATAATCTTCATAATCACTCGCACCGTCTTCTGAGATGTTCAGATGATTGACATATTTATTTATTTTTTAAAATAATTTTTATTTTTAAATGTTTTCACAGTATCAAACATATATAAACATAAACATATATTGGAAGCATGCCAATATTCACAAGAAAAGGTTTTAAGTACAGAAACGTATCGCTCATACTAAATCTGACCGTAAAGGGTTTATGTACTCAGTCCATTTAGTCCAGATTTTGTAAAACATGTCCTTTTGCATCCTGAGGGAAAAAAACAACTTTTCCATGACATGTATTTCGTGTATTATATTGATCCAATCCTCAATAGTTGGAGATTCAACTCTCAGCCACTTTCTTGTGATGGCCTTTATACTTGCAATAAGTAACATACCAAGTAATTAATTATGCTAATCATTAATCATGCTAATCTTAATTATCATTGTTTATTGTTTATTTATTTGGATCCCCATAAGCTGTCAGTAATTTGACAGCTACTCTTCTTGTGGTCCTTTTAAAATGATATAGATACACAAAACATATTAAATGATAACATCATAAGAACAATTATACATTTAAAATAATTTCACCTTACATTACAATCTGTACACAAATATTCATGAATTACGGCTTTCAACAAAATATTTTTTCATTAAGATGCTAATGCTAATTGTTATTCCAATTTGTCACATTGACATATTTAATGAAGGAATTCCAGATAGACTCAAAAAGGTCCCGTTTGCCCTTTAATATATTTGGTTATTTTTTTCCAGAGGGAGGACAGATAACATCTTCTGTAGCCACTAGTTTACTGTTTTTTTATTTTTATTTGTGTTTTCTTTAGGTGTACGAGCTCACCCTCCACTACACGCAGCACTGGGATCACAACGTGGTCACGGCTGCCCTGGAGCTCCTGCAGCAGATCTTCCGGACCCCCCCGCCGGAGCTCCTGCACATGCTCATCACGGCGGGCAGCATCGCGCACGCCTCCGTGTTTCGCCAGGACGCCGAGAGCCGCGCGCGGTCCGGCAGCATCCTGGAGCTCATCGGTACACTCAGAAATCAGTCGGGACCGAGTTTAAAGCTCCCGCTTAGTGATCTGGGCCATAGAATATTTACCTAGTGTCATGGATATCCTCTCAACGACGTGTCGAATTATTCTAAGTCTTGCAAAAATACTAAGTTCTTGAAGGAACAGTTGAAGAATTATTCTAAGTCCTGAAGAAGAAGCAGAGGCAGCTGGGTCCCGGTCCAAAGTGGTTTATTGCAGCAAATACAAATACACCACATGAGCTGTTAGCCAGGCTAACAACTAACTTTCTTGGGACGAATGTCTGCTTACAAACCTTTCGATTCTTGGGGCTCCACCCTGAGCCCCTCCTTTATGACGTGGTTCCCTTACCCTCCACGGGGCACCGTCCATGAGCATTCCGTTACCCCTCTCTCTACCGGCACTGTACTTTGGCCCTTTATTTCTGTTTTGCCGTTCTTATGCATTCACATAGCCTTTATTATGTTGTTAGCCTCTGAACCATG